TTGTCACTTTTGCCCTTACTGTGGGGCGCTTCTTCGTTAGTCTTCCGAGTTCGGCGTCCGCCATGTCGAGTTGTATCATATGTATCCCACTTCCTGGGTTTCGGCACCAAAAATGTCATGAATAAGACCTCGAGGGGATATCCTTCCGACGTCACCTTATTACTATCTGAATGTAGAACTGTCCGTCTCTCTGTCCAGTTCAACCAATATCTTCTGTCGGCGAACACTGCCCACTCTGCACACAAGAACTTTCTTCTCTCTGCCCTCACAGTACACTGCTAGTCACACATTTTGTCTCTCAGCCTTAGCTGTGAGCTCCTCAAAAAGCTTACTGTTCATTTTCATGAAGGTTTTGAGCATGCTGTATACAAGAGCCACAATTGTTTGGTTCCAGTGCTCTTTGATGATGCGGTACAGAGCTGGGAACATTATTGGCATGATCACATGGTTGTTTTCCGCAGTCAGGCTCATTATGTACTCATTACTCCATAAGTACAGTGCACATTCGGCAACCTGAAAGTTAGGACTAGAGACACATCTTGAAATTTGTTTGAACAACGGTTCCTGAATTTTGGCAAACTGTGATGGTTCAATTACATCTAAAATTTCTCCAATCTCGCCAAGGAACATCACCTCTTTCTGACTGCACGTTTTAGGCCAGAACTTGAGTAGCCCTTTAACAACAGGTTCAGTTAGCGTGGCATCCTTTTCAAGGAACTGAAGCACACAGTATATCAGCTGTGCTTGGTACAATGACAGACGTTTAACTTTGTGCAGTGGCAGCAGAACCTTTACGAGGAATTGCTTGTGTTCTGACTTCAGCGGTAGAGCAAAGCCGTTGATAATGCTTCCTAATATTTCCAATAACTCTCCAACGCCATTAAAATGCTCTGTCTCATATACAAACCTAAGGAAGATGTTATTTATTTGTTTGCGTATGAAAGCACGTAGCCCCAGGAATTTTCCATAGATGCGATGTAGAATTGTCTTAAGGAAATGACGCTCACGAGGGTCTTCACTGTCAAATAAATCTAATAACTGTAGCACAGATTTTTGGTCTATTACTTTTTTGCCAATGGTGGTCTGAAAGTCAGAGGATTCCAAGAACCGTAGGAAAAACTCATACACCAACTGCAAGTGTGGCCACGACGCTTCTAATGTTGGGTCATCTTCTTCTGGATCAAAATCACTGGGCGGCAAGGTCCGGAACAGATTTGCTGAGATCATTCTGATGATCTCAGGGTAAACAGGCTCAGTAAGTACACCCCGGCCTGCTGCAATGTAGTCCACCAGCTCATTCAGAGTAGCTCGTTTTATTTCCTTTCCCTTCAGGTCAGCCACTGGGTCCATGAAGTCAAATGC